TCATAGAACTACAGAACCACAGAGTCATAGAACTACAGAACCATAGAATCATAGAACTATAGAACCATAGAGTCATAGGGTCATAGTCACAGAGCCATGGAGTCATAGAACCATGGAACCATAGAGTCATAGAACTATAGAGCCATGGAATCATAGAGTCACAGAACCATAGAACCACAGAATCATAGAACTACAGAGCTGTAGAACCACAGAACTGTAGACTCATTGTCATGTAGTCATAGAGCTGTAGAACTGCAGAACCATAGGATCAAAGAGCCACAGAAGCATAGAACCATAGAATCATAGAGTCATAGACAGAGAAAAATAGAATCATAGAGCCCAAGAGCCATAGAGCCATAGAATCACAGGGCCAAAGAACCACACAACCACAGAATCATAGAATCAAGCGCTCCTGCAGCCACACCAGGACCCCACAGCCCCTGCACATCCCATTCTGGCCCTTTCTGCACCCCTGGCACCCAGGAGGTGGTGGTGAGCTTCGGAGCGTGCAGGATAAGTAGGTCAGCGCGACACAGCCACTAAATATTTCATAGCCCTTCCAGCTCTGACCTTTCGGAGTATTGAGCTCCTGGCTTCATTTAACACGAACAAAGGAACACAGGCAGGATAACATGCTGCATTTTAAGGACCCACAGCTCAGGGCCATGGCCAGGAGTGCTCTGAGCAGCTGGATCAGGCCCAGCGGCTCACTCTTGCACCGTTGCTGCCAGGAGGATTTATTTGAATTAATTTGCTCTCAGGAAGACACAGCCTGCTAATTGCAAGGCAAAGCGAGGCTGCTCACAGGGCCCAGCGCCTGCTTTCCATCTGCCAGTGGTACTGCCTACTTGCAGCACGGCGGTGCAGAAAGCCATTGCATGAGGCACTGGGAAACACGAGGGAAAATGAAGTGTGTGCACCTCAAACCCCAGCCCTGCAGCTCACTTCAGCAGGCACAAAAACAAACATTTCAACTGGAAGTTGCACCAGGCTGCTCCTCACCATGCAGCTGTTTGCAGCCGTGTCCCCCTCCGCCTCCCTTTGCCTACATCCCAACAACTGCACACACAGCAGGAAAGGCTTCACCTATGCATTAGCAAGTGTTGTACTCAGTGGCAAAACCAGGCAATGGGGCACTGCCCACCACAGCGGAACTGCAGGGGGGGTCTGGTGTCCCCCAGACATCAGGGAACCCCCTGGGCTCTCCGTGCCGGGAGCCAGCAAACGAGGTGGAGCACAGGGGCGGAGGGGATGCAGCATGGCTGTGCTTCATTAGCACTGAGCCTGCAGCCCCCTCCCTCCTGCCATCTCCTGGGAATTAATGGGATGCACAGCTCTGCTTTATGGGTTGTTACATGGAGCGCAACAGCAGACATCACCTCCCCTCGCAGCTCACATTATCCAGCTTCCCCCCATTTCCCTATTTGCAGGACGCGATTAACACAGCGTCTGGAGCAGGGATGCATGCAGCAGCTGCTGAATTCCAGGACGGAGCTTTTAGTTAATATGCAATCCCTTTAATTCTGAGCAACCAGCTGAGTAATTTCCTTTGCAAAGTAGATTTGATGGGTTTTTGTCAGAGTACATTAAGCTTCCAGGAGGACAGAGCAGGGTTGGTTGCTGGTGATGGTTTCTGTGCAAGGAGTCAGGAGTTTTAATTAAGACCAATTGAATACACGGAGCAGCAGTGGGCCGGTTCCCATGCCCAGGGCACCTCAGAGAGGGGAAGGAGCCTCGGGGGGAGTGGAAGCAGCAATAACAGTGACAAAAAGAGAACAATAATTATAAAATCAGGGATTCAGGGCAGAGCTTCCTGGGCGGCCTCTCCTGAAGGCACCTTGTCAGTACTAAACCGCAGTGAATCCTAATCCTGCTCCGAGGCTGCATGGATCCCACACTGCCCAAAGCTCAGTGACCCAAATAGCAGCTCCTTAATACCGGGCTCTGCCTCCAGGCTCCAGCACTTCGGTGTTTTTCACAGCAGGGGTTGGAAGGAGCCTTGCACGGCTGCTGCAGCAACTGGGCAGGAGTGCTTTGCGTGGAGAAGTGTTCGTGTGATGCTCACAGGGAGAAGGGGCAACAAATAATTCCTGCTACCACAAATGGTTCAGATGGACCAGGGGCACACAGAGCTCTGAGAGGGGTGGACGCGTGGCACCAGGATGGACACACGACCCCAGGATGGACATATTGCTGCAGGACAGGGACGACCGTCCTGATGGGAAAATCCTTCCTCCTTGTTGAGGCTCTGCTTCCACCTCCAGGACAAGGGGAATTTTCTCCTCCACCTGCACTCTCTGCTCTCGTGCTGCTTTAGGGGATCAGGGAGGGCTGCCTGAGCCTCAGGGATTTGCAGGGTTTCCTCGGAAATCCTTGAGCACACACAAGTCTCTAGTGGCTGAGATTAAGAGTAAATACGTTTGCTGCTGCCTTCTTTAGAGGAGGTCTCTCCTCCTTGAGAAGAGAGCAGAAAATCACACCAATTTTGCTGACCTGGGGCTCATTTCAGTACATGCAAAGGTGACCGCAGCTGACCCGAATTTCATTAGGAACCAGTTCCACCTGAGGCAGCATAAGCGAGGCAGAAACGGGACAGATCCTTGGCAGAGACCCAGAACAACCATGGGAAACAGTGCTCTGCCAGCACCGGAGCTGGGGGCTCAGAGAGCTGCAGGCACTGCAGGGCAGCACGTCTGCACTGGGGGTCGTCAGGGCAAGGAGAGGGGACTGGTCTGGTCACTGGGCAGCTTTGGGCTCTGCTGGTGATGGCACTGCACTGAGAGGCAGTGATTGTGCTGAGCGTTTGCGCAGACCGTTTCCCCGAAGGCCATTCCCTTATGTGCATGGAGGGATGGATGCCACTCTTGGAGACGTTTCTGTCCAACAGTTGGATAAATACAGATGCCTGCAGGCTTTCCCTTCTGCTGCGTGCAGCTTCCAGCACTTGTGCACCAGCAACCATGTCTCTGCATGGCCACGTCCATGGGAACCAGCACTGCTCAGGTCCATCCGCCTCCATCCTCCTCCATTCTCACTGCAGTTACCAGCTGCTCAGCATCCCCAGGGCTGCTGGCTCCTTCTATTTGCAGCCAAGCCATGCAAAGTGGAGCAGGAGAAGTAACCAGCATTGCTGCTTAGCACTTTTGCCAGGATGAAGGCTGAAATATCAGTCACTCCCCCTCCTTGGATATAAATACATTTATAGGCTATAAACGTCCATCTCCTGCCCAGCCTCACTGCAGCACATCCATAATCCGTATTTTGGGTAACAGCTACTTCTCCAGACACAGCAGACCCAGAGCCCTGTGCTCTGAAGGCCAAACTAGGGCACATGGGAGCTCCGACAGCACTTTGCACCGGTTCAAAGCAGCAGCTTTGCCGCAGCAGTGTTCACCTGCCCCATAAAAGCAGCAGCTGGAATCGAGCTTGTTTAATTAAAGAGGCAAAAACCCATGCAGTGCTACCGTTAGATGGGACGACTGGCATTTAAAACTGAAACCAAACCCTTGTTTGCTGGGCACCCAGGACGGGGTTTCTGTTTCAGCCGGTAGAGGGTGCAGGCACTTCCGTGCAGGTTGGCTCCCCGGCCCGCTCCCCCCGCCGCTCTCGGGGCAGTGCGTGCAGCAATGCTGGGACATCGCTGCCACCAGCCCGGACTGCTGCCTTCCTTCCTTCCCCGTCTCGAGGTTACAAGCAGATGGCTCCTTCAGACCAAAATCAGGTCTGGAAAAATCGACAGAAAACCATAGTATGGTACAAACCAGACGAGAGTTCCGAGTCCTGAGCTTTTAGGTAGAAAAAGCCCTCAGGGCACCGCTTCATATTGAAGAGAAATACTGAAATCCACACATTTTTTTCTTTGCAGAAAGCCCCAAGGAGCAAGCAGAGCAACCTCGCACTGAGTATCCCCTTCCCTGCCACCATCAGTGGCTGTCCCCAGGGCAATGCCACTGGCACACAGCTGAGCAGATGCCATCGGCTCCCCAGGCCAACAAAGGCAGAGTGGGGGCGGATGGCTGCCCTGGGCACTGTGCCTGCTGCTCCGCTCAACAGCTGTCACTGTGGTTGGGGACAGGATGGGAATGGGATGGGGGGCAGGATGGGGGATACGGCAGGACTGCTCCCCGGGAGCTGCAGGAACGGTCTGCCTACAGAGCTCTTCCTTTCAGTTTGGGTTATGGGCAATGCAGAAGCATCCTGGGGTGCTATGGGGCCATTCGGAACTCAGCACGAGGGACGGATGCCCATGGGCAGTGGGGACACAGCTAAAGGCACAGCACAGACTGCAAGCAGCAGCCCTGCCGTGAGCAGCAGCCCTGGGTTCTGGCTCCCTACATGTAAACAAAGCCTCCTCCTATTGTGTGAGCTTTGATTCCAAACCCAGAAGATGCAAAAAGGCTCTCGGCTCTAACAGCGCAGTTAAGCCCATTCTCCACCAGATGAAGGAAAAGAAGGAAAAGAAGAAGAGGAAAAAGAAGGAAAAAAGGAAGGAAGAGGAGAAGAAGAAGGGAAAGAAGAGGATGAAGGAGAGGGAAAGGAAGAAGAAGAAGGTAGACATGTCACCTCCAAATCCCATTTTTCCTACTGCTCTGTGGCTCCCTCATCCACAGCCCTCCTTCCAGAATGAAAGAGGGAGGTGCTCCCAGAAAAATACATGGGATTTCCTTCCCAGTTCCACAACTTCAGCTTCTCTGAGCCCCAGGTCAGGCCTGGGAATTGTCTGCACATTGTTTGCTCTCGAGGAGGGTTCTGCTCCTGCCAAGCACCCAAAGGCTTTCAGTTGCAAGGAGCTGAATTTCTGGTGTGCAGAGGAGCATATGGCCCAGCGTATGCAAACACATTCACATTGGTGCTCGCAGCACAAAGCAGAGCATTTTTCTGGGGAAGATTTCTGGCGAGAACAGAGGGCAGAAATGTAAAAATAAAATTTATATTAAAAAAAAACAAATGAAGAAGAAGGAAAAATGGCAGCAAATCAGACCCCGAGTAGATGCGCAGTATCTAGGCTACCTTAATTATGTTCAGCTAAATATGGATGCCAATTAATTAGGTGGCTGCTGATTTCCAAAGAAAATTAGTTTACTCTTAATGAGCTAATCAGCTCCTATTTAAGAAAAATAATGAAATTATTAGGTTGTACAAAGGAGCGTGCAGCCATCTGACACGGAGAGCCAAGGAGGCTCCAGTGGGGACCATCCGGCAGCAGCAGTGCACCGCAGCGCTGGGCTTCTCTGTGGGCCAACCATCCCTTCAGAACAGGTTGCAAATGACAGCCTGGCATTGTGCTCCATTTGCCAGGAAAAAAAAGAAGAAGTGAAAAAGAAGAGTAATTTGCTGGCAAATTAGGGTTATGGCTCAGGGTTTGGGATGGCCGCATGGGGCGTGGATGGGTGTGCTCTGAGCTCGGGGCGCAGGCAGGAGGCAGCGATGCAGCTCCGCCAAAGCTCCTTGTTTGCAGAATATTAATAAGAGTCAAGCTGCGTGCCGCAATTAAAATGCTGATTATGATTTCTTCCATCTGTAGCTGATGCTACTCAGGAAATTAAATAAAAAGGAAGGAGAGATGTGGATGTTACGTGGGGAAACGTCTGGGAGAGAAGCAGCCGTTGCCCACAGCTCCGCATCCCGCACTGTGCTCTCAGAAGGCAGTTTTATTTCCAAGGGTTTAAAATTGCATGAACGGGGGATGTGCAGATTGGTTTGGGCACTCATGCAAGAAGCGGAGGGAAGCTTCTGAAAGCACAGTGCTGCAGGGGGAAGGAGTACATGCTCTGATTGCGTCCGTAGCACAGAAGTGTGCCCTCACCCCAGTGGCAGGCTGGAGAGCCAATGTGAATGGAGGAGTGCTGATGTACTGGTGTATTTTTGTTCCTCCTCATCCTCCTCTCGCCAGCTCTTAACAATGATGTGACGTCAAAAATGGCATTTCTGGAGCTGTCAGGTTGCTGCTGCAGATGAGTCACAGCCAGGACCTGGGCAGACACAGGCTCAGCTCGGCTGTGCTGGCTGAGGAAGCAGAGCTTGTCTGCAGGCCTTGCATGGGGATTTTGCAGCAGAAAACCCAGGCGCAGAGCTGTACTCCCCCTATCTGGCTGCCCAGAGCACCAAGCTTTGAGGCGGAGCACATGGGGTGGGGTGGGGTGGGGTGGGGGGGGGTGGGATGGGATGGGGTGGAGTGGGATTGGATGGGGGATGGAATGAGGTGAATAGACTAGAATAGAACAGAGTGGAGTAGGGAAGGGTAGAGTGGAATGGAATGGAATGGAATGGAATGGAATGGAATGGAATGGATAGGATAGGATAGGATAGGATAGGATAGGATAGGATAGGATAGGATAGGATAGGATAGGATAGGATACAATACGATAGGGTAAAGTGGAATGGAATGGAATGGAATGGAATGGAATGGAATATTTTCAGTTGGAAGAGACCTACAAAGACCATGGAGTCCAAATGCTGCATTTTCTTCCTAAAGAACAAATCCAGTTCCCTAAGGCAACCATAAATCCTGACTTTACCACAGAAGAAGCCCCACTAAGGAGATCAGAGCCAGGCACGTGCTGCAGGACAGCTGGGATGCTCCGAGCAGGAGCATGGCACTCACCTGCTCCAGTGGGATGACGAGGAAGGAGCCGCCGCCAGCACTCTCGGTGACGATGGCGAGGAAGCGGGCGTTGACGGCGCAGAAGTGATTGTCGTGCACGTTCTTGGTGATGGGGATGCCATCGAAGCAGTGCTCCCTGCTCGCCACCTTCCCGTAGACATTGCGGAATTTGGAGCTGCGGTACTGCGGGCGCCATGACATCTGCAGGGCAAACAGCGCCGTCAGCATCGCCGCCAGCAAAACCCCCTCGTGCTGCTGTTCTCCAGCTCCTGTTGGGCAGTGCTGGCCGCACCACGGCCGCTGCTCGTCGAGGTGTGGCCGGGCAGAGCTGTGAGCACAGCACCCCGAAAAAATATTGGGGTTGTCCCCGCTGCAAGATGCAACTCCCAAAGGGCACGGAAAGGCTCCGAGCTGCTGCGGAACTGCGGGCGGCCGCCTTTTCAGCATGCACCGCTCATCGAGGAGACAGCACGACCACTTCATGTGCGTATGACAAAGGAATTAAGGCTTTTAATGCGATGACTTGGAAATGGATTAGGCCAAACCACATGAAAGCATGCATCGGTGCAGAAGGAGAGAGCGCAGAATGAGCGAGCAGCAGAGAGCTGTGGGGCTGCATCTGACTGCTCTGCTCCTTTTGCACAGCTCTCCCCTTGCATTCCCCACTCGCCCTGCTCCCTGCAGCAAGGTGCACACAGGAGGGCAATACCGCTTTTGCTGACCACTTTGCTTTTTGTAAGTAAAAAGAAAGCTGCTTTCAGCTCCATCCAAACAGTCGGAGCAGCGTTCTCATAGTTTCTGATAAAGGCATGTGAGCACGCTGGGTCACCTGCAGTTCTCAGCAAGGGGCAACCCCAGCAAACATCCCTGCCACTGCAGGGGCTTCCTCCAAGCACAGGACTGTGGACAACCCAGAGCAAGGCATGCAGGAGCAACATCTCCCAAACAGGGGGGAAGAATGCTTCAAAGTGTAGGCAGCAGTGTTTCCACCTCTAATGCATACAACAGGCTCATTACCAGGCTTAACGCAATGCTGGGGGCACGGGGCAGTAAATCTCCACCTGCATCGCAGGGCCAACAGCAGGAGGGGTGCAGCGGTGAATCCTGCACCCATCCATCACACCAAGAGCTGCATTTCCCAGCCCTGCAGCACCAGGAGCATCCTCTGGAGGATGCACGGCCAGCGCTGAGCATCAGCCCTGAACCTGTGCAAAGTCAGCATCAGGAGGTGGGCGCACAGGTTGGCTGGGTTTGCACCCCGCAGCATCGGAGGCGGTGCTGCAAGGGAAGGGGATGCAGATCCTCGGGGATTTACCCCACAATGAGAGCAGATGGGCTTTTTATTTCAGGATGGAAACGTTTCTGCTGGGGGAAAAATGCAAACTCACATCCAACAGAGCGCTGTGAATCAGTGCCAGATCTGCCCAAGCGGTCGGAGCACGGCAGATGAGGAGGAACCTCAGCACAGCCCAGGATGCCTCTTTCAAGAGTTCCACTACGTTTTATCTTTTCCTTTTGCTGGATAGATGAGTTCCCATTTTGAAGCTAATGTTAACATCTTTATATATGAAGTTTAAAAAGCACACAGGATGTCTTTTAATAGCTTTCAAGCTCTCTGCTTTCTCCCTAGATGAGGCTTTTCTCCCATTCCTGCCATCCATGCCACTCTATTTCTATCGCAACAGAACCACAAATCCCACCCGAAGGCCATTTTCTTCCTATTTCCCTGCTCAACTCAGCTGTTTCTTCACATCTCCCCACATGGGAGGATGCCCTGGTCTTGGAAAGAGGGGCTCCTGATCCTCCTGCATCAAGCTCAGCTCAACGAGCTGCTGCCAAATGAAGCAGCACAGCCCCGAGCTCCGAGGTGCAGATCCCTGCCCTCCGGGTACGGACGCACCCCGCACCACCCACTCCAAGCAGAGATGCATCTTTCAGGATTTCAGCATTTTTGCTTTGCTCTCATCTCTTTGTTCTTTCACCCCAATCCGGGCGTGCCTTCATCCCACCCTGGGAGGAAGCAATCGGCTCGAGAGCGCTTTGCTGGCCAGATCCCCAGCGCCATTCCTTCACCCTCAGTATTTCCTGCAAACAGCAGCCAGCAGCCCCAGGGCTGCAGACAGCCCGGAAACGGCAGCAGAATGTCGGGAAACGTCTGGGGGCTGCACAGTGCCCCGCTTCCTGCACATCCATTGTTCTGGCAGGCTTCCCTGCTATAGCAATAGATCTTCATGCTGCGGGGTGATGCTGAGGTCCCCACGCTGCTGTGCTTTGGGGATGCGGATGGAGGGCGGACGCGGTGACTTGGGTACCCTGGAGCAGCAGGGAATTGCAGCTGGTGGGAGGTTCTCATGCCATTGAAGCCTTCTGGATCGGAAAATAAAAATCTCAACATCTTTTGCTGTGCTCCAATGGCCTGGGTCAATGGAAATGCTCCCAGTGGGGGCCCAAAGCCGTTCCTCGTGGGGATGCAGGAGGATTTTCTTGCAAAAATGAACCAGAGAGATCTTCTGGCCAAGAAAAAGAGCCCTTTTCCCATTGCCCTTTCCATCTGTCAGGCTCATTCCGGGGTGAGGAACCATCAGCAGTGACAAGGATGAGTGGGTGGCCTCACAGTGTGAGACCCCCAACCAGCACAGAGTCCCCCAAGGCTTTAGGTCACACACCTCGTGCTGGGAACCTGGCACCCAAGGGGCTGCAAGCAGGGATGTATTCCCAACAAAATACGCAATTTCACAAGAAACCAAGAAACACCATTTTGCTATGGAAGATTGTTGCCCACCAGTCCGATTTCCCCACCAGGATGAGAACAATCTCCTACCCCACGGTCTGCACAATGGGGAGGAAAGCAGCCCCTTCCCCAAAGGATTTCAACTCAATGGAGACAAAGGAAGAGGAAATGCTGGAAAAACCTCACAGCCCCTCTGCTTCCTCCCGGGGCAGTGGGAGCTTTGCTCAGGATGGAGCAACAGAACACCTCGTGTCCCACAAGGCATGGGTGCTCTGGCAGCAGTGCAGCAGTGAGCGCTGGGGAAATCCCACCAAACTCACACTGCAATATAGCATTTCCTTCCTTCCCCTGGACTTTTAGCCCTGGCTTGATGCCGTTTCAGGCAGCCGATGCTCAGAGCCAGACAACCCCACTAAATTTAGCAGCCACGTGCAGCACGCCCTGGCCATCACCTGCCCTAAGCCGCAGCATCCCCAAAGCCCTGCAGCAGCTCCTGGCCCTGCACAGAGCTCTGCAGAGCCAGGAACACTGCTGGGAGCTGTTACCCAGAGCGGCTGTAACCTGATGGTACATAATTCTTAGGAAACTGCCTCTTGGAGTAATTCTATACATTCCGCTGAGGTGAATGGGCATTTTATTTTTCCATCTCGATAGCTGGGAGGAGTTGCAAGAATGCTGCTGGGTTTTTGGAGCTGTCTCTGCCCATCTCCCAAATCAGAGCAATGTGACACCGGTGGTTCCCAAGGTTTGCTCCAGCTCTGCGTTGTGCTTGGATTCTGATGCTTCCTTTCATTGCAGAGCCCCTCCCTCGCTTCAGGTTGAGCAGAACTTCCATGAAAAACACGACGGAGCTCTTTGAAGAGAGGCACTGAAATAAACCCCATCCCCAACCACGCTGCTCCACAGAGGCCCTAGACCTCATGGAAAGCTGGGAATCTCTCCGCTCTGCTCCAGCATTTGTCAGATTATGGCAATGTTTTACTTCTTTAAGTACTTGAGGGAAAGAGCACGTCCCAAAATCCCACTCTGGGAGAAGGAAACCTCTTCCACAACAACAGTTAGAGCAGGAACCATGCACGGCTGGAGCAGATTTGGAGAGGTTTTGGTGGCTCCTGTGGCACTTTGTAAGCAAAAAGGACACCGTTGAAGGTGCACCCTCAGGAGAAACCCTGCCTTGTCTGGGGCATTGGTTGGTGCATCATTTCTGTGCCAATCCTCAGGAGCAGAGAGTAGGGAAGCACACCCAGGTCCATGGCACAGCTGCCATTAGCATCTCACCCCACCATCGCCCCACCGCACAGATCTGTGCAGCAGAAGAACAGCAGCACGAAATGTAGGTCAGGCAGGAGGGGATT